CCAGGAAAAAGCCACCAATAAAATCCTTTCCAAGGGTCTGTGTGGAGCAGGGAGAGAGGAAATGCAGTCAGCTCTTTTTTCTCTGCAGGAAGGGAAGGCTGAACAACTGCACATCAGGAGAGAAGGCAAACAAATTGCCCATTCAAGCCAAAATAAGCTGCTCCCGGGGGAAGCAAAACAGCTGGAGTTAATTCAGCCAGACACAAAGGTGAGGGCCCCAAAGACAGGGCCGGGCCTGGGGAGCCGGCCTCTGGCAGGCAGGGATCTTCCGAGCAAGTGGTGGCCACTTGCCCTCATCTCACCTCTGCTGACCTCAGCTTACACCCACGAATGGGAGCTTGTCCGCCAGCTTTCTCAGATGTAGAGGGAAATCCTGGCTAAAAAGGATTAAGAAAGGAAGCAAACTAGTGCACCTGCCAAGCGGGCGAGCACCTGCTGAGCACCTATTATGGGGCAGGCACTGGGCTGGTGCCTGACATACCTGTGCCATTTGGCAAAACAACTTTTATGGGTGGTACTGTGAAGGAGATTTTACAGATGAGGAATCAGGCTCAGTGAGGAAGAGTGATTGTACAAGGACATAACTAAAGAGTGGCCAGGTTCTCTCCTTCCTGTTTGTCACTTGAGTTTGTCTCTGCCCAGCTCCAGCAGTTTATCTAAAGCAAGAACTGACTATCCTTTCTAGCCATGGGGGTGCCTGGTAGCAAACACAGAACACATCAAGAGATTCTTCATTGGAAAACTAAGGAAAGAACAAGAGCAGATTGCAAAAGAATTGGGGAAGTGGAAACCTGGAAGCAAATGAGGTAGCAGAGTAGAATTACTTTGATCTCTGAAGAAACCTGAAATGCGGCTGCTGTGGAGCTTGCCTCAAGCTGGACATGCAGACCCTGAGTCCCTGCCTGGGACAGTGGACAGCAGAATCCTGACTGGCACAAATTAGGGCTAGCAGCGGTTCCAGATTCCCTAGACTGGAGTCCCCAGGCTTCAGTTTAAAAATCCATTCTGCAGCTATGCTGAGCATCTGCCCTGGACTCTGACATTTTGCGGAGTGGGAGGAGATACTTCCCTCTCTAGCTCCTGAGATTCCCACCCTGAATCTCAGACCTTCTTATAGTCATCTTAAAATTACTCCCTTCCTTGAAGTCTTAATAAACAGTAATGATAATATCAGCTAACACTTGTTGAGCCATTACTTTTGGGCCAGGGAGTTAGCAATTTACATAACATATATATCACAGATGAGACGATCAAGACACAGAGAGGTTAAGCCACTTAGACAAGGTTACCGGGCTCACAAGTGGAAGAGCCAGAGTTTGAACCCAGTGCCTATGCTCTTCCTCAGCACCACCCAAAGTGCCTCAGGCCTTAGGATCCGATAGAGTCAAAAGAGCAATCCTGGAAGTCAGGCAGACAGCTCTACATGTACTGCTACTTATCCCTGGGCAACCTGGTTAATCTGTCATATCTCCGAGTCTCAGTTGTCTCCTCTATAAAGTAGGTGCAATAAATATGCTTTGTGGAGTTGTGTCCATTCTAAGACAGTGTAGGTCCTCAGTCATGTTCCTTACCCATCTCTTTTTCACCTCCCCTTCCAATTTTGATTGCCACTCATTCATTAGACATCAAGACTGCTCCTGTCCTTGAGCAAGGTTTGGCTTCTTCATATTCTGTTCTAGTCTATTTTGTAACTATTGTGTGCCTACAACGTGTGGGACCCAGTACCAGGCATTGTGGGGCTGGATTCCAGGAATGAGACTGGAGGTGGGAAATCCATCTAGAGTGGGCAATGGCAGAGGGCTGAGGGGAGGAGCTGGCTCTGAGAACCAGGCTTTCAGCTGGTAGGAACTCTCCTCCTCCAGCTTGTCTCCCTCTTGCTGGCCTCCTGCCAGGACTAACAGGCACTTCTTGTCGCCTCCTGGTGCACAGCTTGCACCCCGCAGGGCACCAACTAAGGGCCCCATTCCTCCCATGCTGGGAAGCCTCTGCTCCCAGCTCACACGCAGGCACGTAGCCATGTTCAGAGCTCTGTGACTGGGCCCACCTATCCTGACTCTGGAACCATTCATTCCGCACACCGTGAGCCAGACCTCAGGCACTGGATATAAAAGAGAATATGACAGGTCTTTCCTCAGGGAGTGCACCAGCATGCCCTGCTCTCCACTATCTCTGATGTTCTCCTCACTTGGGTAACATGGGACACACCTTTCCAGAACATTATCATTTCTCTCTTCCGACTAAGAATTACTTTACTAGAATAGACACACTAACATGCAAGTCTCCCCTCTGCCCACCCTGACCAAGAGAAATAAGAAACAGAATTATAAATATATATGTACATATGAATGTATTTCTTATGCACCCCCTATTTACCAAGTTATCTCACCTCATACGTTATCTCACCTCATCGTCACAACCATCCTGCAAGATGAAATTATCCCTATTATATAGAGGAGGGGAAAAACTGGAAGCTCGCACAGAGATGGAGCCGGTTTGCACCAAGGCTGTCTGCCTGCAGAGTCTCTGCTCTTTCTATAGCCTCAGGCTGACTCTCAGCTCAGCCTGCTGGCCTGCTAGCTCTGGCCCCCTCCTCCTTTGTCTGAATTTTGTTCTTTCAAATATTTAGATTCCCTGCAATCTTCTTGTGTGTGTGGTCCCAGAGGAGGCCACCCTCTCCCAGACCAGTGACAGCATCAGCACCTCGGATTCTCTGATTTGCCTGTCTTAATTACACCCAGGCTGGAGCAGTTCCGGGGCTGCTGCAAAGCGTGCAGGCTTGCTGTTCTGTTTTCTCACTCCTCTGACTACAGCCCCTTTTACTCCCCACCCCCTCTGCTGGCTGGCAGCCTACCTCCTCGCTGTCCTTGGTTCTGCCTCCTTGCACATCACGTTCAGGCCTGCCAAGGACTGCTTCAAACTGCTGCCGCCCCAGGCAGCTGAGCCAGTCTAGCTCAATTCAGAAAAGAGTGCTCGAGTCTCTGCTGAGTGCCAGGCACTGCTCTGGGTGCCACAAATAGGCAGGAAGCAAAAGGAAAGCACAGGGGCCTTGCTCTTCAGAAGCTCAGAGTCAGAGGCTGGGAGGGAGACGCAGACAGGAGCAGAAATGGCTGGCCCAGGGCAGGCGGTGAGGGGGCTGTAACAGAGTCCTAAGATATCAGAGCTGAAGGGAACCTTGGTTTCCTGTTTTAACCCCTCCACTTTATAGATGGCGAACAAGAGCCCACAGGAGGACAATTATATGAATAAATGATGTCGAGAAATAACAACCAGCTCTTCTAAAACCCTTACTAGGAGCTAAGTACTGTTCCACGTGCCTTACATGTATTAACTGAACCCCCTCAACGACCCTCTGAGGAAGGCGCTATTGCCCTCCCCATTTTAAAGATAAAGAAAGTGAGGCATTGAGGGGTTAAATTCCTTGTCCAAGTACACAGCTAATAAGTGGCAACCTGTATTGCACTTAAGCATTTGGGACCTGCAGTGCTGCCTCTCTAATGCAGGGGTGAGAAACTTTTTATCTATCCAGAGCCATTTGGATATTCATAACATCATTCGCAGGCCATACAAAATTATCAACTTTAAAATTAGCTATGCCCGGCCGGCATGGCTCAGTGGTTGAGCATCGGCCTATGATCCAGGAGATCATGGTTTGACTCCTGGTCAGGCACACTCCTGGGTTGAGGACTCGGTCCCCGGTATGGGACATGCAGGAGGCAGCTGATCATGACTCTCTCATCATAGATGTTTCTCTTTCTCTCTTTCTCTCTCTCTCTCTCTCTCTCTCTCTCCCCCCTTCCTCTCTCTGAAATTAATAAAGAGATAGATGATAGATAGATAGATAGATAGATAGATAGATAGATAGATAGATGATAGATAGATATAGATATATAGATAGATATAGATATAGATATAGATATAGATATAGATATAGATATAGATATAGATATAGATATAGATATAGATATAGATATAGATATAGATATAGATATAGATATAGATATAGATATAGATATAGATATAGATATAGATATAGATATAGATATAGATATAGATATAGATATAGATATAGATATAGATATAGATATAGATATAGATATAGATATAGATATAGATATAGATATAGATATAGATATAGATATAGATATAGATATAGATATAGATATAGATATAGATATAGATATAGATATAGATATAGATATAGATATAGATATAGATATAGATATAGATATAGATATAGATATAGATATAGATATAGATATAGATATAGATATAGATATAGATATAGATATAGATATAGATATAGATATAGATATATTTTAAAATTACCTATGAAAAAGCTCCTAGATTTACTGAATTTCTAGTCCCTTGGCAGGGTCAAATCAAATTATTTCACTGGCAGTATATACGGCCCTCGGGCCAGATGTTCCCCACCCCTAGTGTGAGACATAGACAGAGTCTACCAGCGGAAGCAATAAGAAGGCTCCTTGAAGGAATTACTCATAGGTCCTGGTTATCCAGAATCAACTAAGAGGAAGCCTAATTAATCAGAAGCTTCAACTAAGAGTTCCCAAGCACCACAAAATACAAGGCAATGAGTAAACAGAGCCTCATATTTCCAAAGAGCGAGCCGAGCCACCCAGGAGGAATAAACTTGGTGGAAGGGATTTAGTTAAGGAAGGAGTAGCAGCTCAACTCCCTTCCTCTTTTATGTCTAGCTTTCTACACATGCTGCCCCCAACCTGTAAGATCTTTAATATCCTCAAATACCACTTCCTGAGGTAGGGAGACCAGCTCAGGCACCTTAAGAAGAATCTCAATGATGTGGATTGAAATGTGTAGAAAAGGAGGTTCTAGCCTTGGTCAAGCAAAGACTTCCATTTCCCAGAATCTCAACACACACACACACACACACAGGCACCCTGGCCTCTGGTTAACCAAGAGTCTTTAATTTTGCCACATGAGTTTCAGAATAAACAGTTACCAGGATATTAGCTACTTACCAACCACTGCCAGATTATGTTCTGAGCCACATGAGACCTGTAAAAAGAAAGAAAATAAGTTACATTAGAAAAAGAAAATGTATAGATATTTCAGCCTATTTATTTTATGGTCACAGTCATTTTTTTAATAACCCTAACGTCTGTTTTTGGCAAATTTTACAAAGTAAGTAGAAAGGGGCACCATATACAAAAGTTGACTATAATTACAACATACTCACAACTACATAAAAAGGAAAAGTGAATTTAAAAAATTGAATGAAATATCTAAAGATGTTAATGTATTTGTTTTTAGGCAGTGAGAACATAAGTGATTTTTAAAAATCCTTTCTTCTTTCTACTTTTTTGTATTTTTCAAACTTTCTATAATGAGCCTGTATTACTATAAAAACTAAAATATAAGGCAATACAAATGATAGTTTTTGAAAACTGAACTAAAAAGACCATCACTCTTATCCTAACTGACAAAATGAGCAGAGAATTTGGTGGAAACAGACTTGTCTAAGGACAAATGCTTGACTTTTCTCATCTGTTCACCTTCCAGTCACACAAATATCTGTAGTTCTCTGGACATGACACATCTGTCACACCTCTACACATGCAGAGGCCTTTGCACATGCTGTTCTTTGCTTGGAATGACCTCAACAACTGCCAACCTAGAAAACTTCCACTCATCCTTTAAAATCTCAAAGCGTCCACTGAGATTCCTTTGCAGTTGCTTCTAGGCAGGCTCAAGCACTCCTTTCCTTGGACAACTTATATGCACCCCCACTGTAGCAATTATCTTGTGGCCTTTTGCATTTTTTCCTGTCTCCTCACTAGGCTGTATATATCTTGAGAAAAGGACTCTGATCCACCTCTGCATTGCACAGTTGGATTGTACAAGGCCAGGGACTCAACTAACATCTGTTAAATAAGAGAATAAATGAAAGAACAAAATACATAAAAGAACAAATACCTGATACATGAAAGACAATCATTTAGGGTTCTGAATCCAGTGTCCACCCAGTGACAGGCCCTTCTTTCATTCTTTGCACATCCCAACTGCTGCCAGGAGGAAATGGTTGGGAATATAAAAGCAGAAATCACCCTCCAGGTACTAATTAAAAGAAACTCAACACTCTGGAGAAGCATCCTGTGACCTTTATCAGGATGCTCACTTTAGCTCCTGGCAAGAGGAAGTCTCAGGTACTCAAGGAGGGAAGGGCCCTGGAGGTTTTCTAGTCCAATCTTTCGACATTATGAAGAGAAAACTGAGGATTGGGAGGACAGAATTTGCCTTACATGCCACGGCAAGTGTGTCAAAACTAAGACTACAACCACACTGATTCTCACACAAGTTCCTTTCCTGATGCTACAGCTTCTCACTCTTTCCCAGTGAAAACCACCTGGAAGTGATACTCAAAAGTAATCAGCATAGACCCCTGACAGTGACAGGTTCAAAAGGCATTTCAGCACTGAAGGCCAAATAACACACTGGTAAGTGAGAAGGGGCAGCAAGGCTTCTGAGGCTTTTTTCCTTATAAAAGCTGTGCTTCCCAGATCCCATCTTCTAAAGGGAAGGGGCCTATAGCGAAGGTGTGCTCCCTGACAGTGTCTGGCAAAGAAGCACCTGTATATTTGATCCCAGTAAAGATTTCCAGATTGTCTAGTCTCTGAGGTCCTTTGAGACAGGCTCTGTATCTAATTTATCTGAGAGGGTCCCACCATGTTTCATATACACAGCACAAGTTCATTCTATGCTTCCTGGTTATACTGAGCTTCCCTAGGTTCTGTCATAGAAAGATGTTTAGATTGAAAAACTGGGGAAAACTTAGATATCTAATATTAGGGTAATGTTTATGTACATTATGATAGAACCACCTGATGAACTATTATACAGACTTGGAAAATGATGCTTACACAATGGAAAATACTCGTGATATCCCGTGAACTGAAAAAAATTGCCTAAAAACTGTATTATGAATGTAATCTCAACCCTATAATAAAGCATGAATGAAAGACTGGAAGGAGATACATCAAAACGTTGACAGTGACTGCCTCTGGATTAGGGATGAGACAGGCATTATGAATATGGTTTTTCCTTTTGCTTTTTTAATGCTTTCTAATTTTAAACACCATTTTTATAATCAGAAAATAATCTTTTAAAAATAAGAAAAATAAATGCAGTGCAGTTTCCACCACAGAGGGGGGGAAAACCCCAGCCTGCTATAAAATCTGATATGTTTTATAGTGGGGGGGAAAAGATTTGAAGGAAATATGACTAAACTACAAAGGGCAGCTTCTGTTCTCTATTTTTCAAATTTTCTGTAACAGTGGTGGTAGCAGCAGTAGTGATGATGGCAGCAATAAAGGCAGGAATTAAAGCCACCATAGACTGAGGACTTATGTGCCAGGCATCACGCCAAGGCACTTTAGAAACATTATCACATCTTAATCATCACAATAATCTTTTTCAGGTAGGTTTGACTTTGCTCATTTTAGAGATAAGAAACTGAGCTCATACATATTAAATAACTTTCATAGCTAGCTAAGGGGAAGCAGCAGAACTAAAACCCAGGTCTTCCCAATCTCCCAGCTCCTGTTCTGTACTACTTGATTGTATTACCTTTGTTTTACAAAAATAAAGTGATTTCATTTCACAATATGCAGACAAAGGGCCTGCCTCTGACTGCCAAGGTTCAACCTGGGGCTGTGGACTGCAGAACTGACCAACCTTCAGGACTAGAGGCTTCCAGAAACAAGCCACTGACAAATGCCAGTATCAGGCAGCAGGTGCTGCTCTGAATTAATGAGCGAGACAGTGATGAATGGATTTTGTCAAGGCCACATAGAGCTTGAAGCTCAAAGCTCCCCACTGCTTCCTGCTGTCTGTGCATTGGCAGAGGCCAGGAGACTGAACACCACAGGCCACAAAATCCCAGGGCTACACTCCTTCAACAAGATTGTATCAATGACCGTTAGCTTCATATTGCTCCTGTCAGCATCTAACCTCCGCACAGCTGCAGGCAGTTTTCTGGAAGACTGTGTTAACAGTGGCAGTGTGCCTGGGAGAAAGAGATTCAGAGCCAGGAAGCCAGGTGAATCCTTAGTCCTCTGCTTCCTGGCTCTGAGACCATTAGCTAGGTATTTACCCTCCCCGGCCTCAGTGTTCTCAGGTGGAAAAAAGTACGTAACAGTACCTGCTCACCTGCCTCACAGAATTGCTAGAGGACAAGTGAGACACTCGCATCTCCTCATAGCCATGCGGCTCACCTTTCTTACATGTAAATCTGACCATGGCATGGCCCTATACAGAACACTTCACAGGCCCCCAGCACTGGGAGGACAGTCTGAACTACACAGTGTGGCTTATGAGGCCCTCTGGAGGAAGCCCCAGTTTACCTCTCTGGCCTCATTTCCTCCCTCTGCTACCCATGAACCCTCAACCCCAAATAACATATTCCCTTGGTTCCATTCACACCACATTACATGTTCTCAAAGAACACTACAGGATGTCAGGCTCTTATGCACGCTCTTCTCCTTGACTGGAATTCCCTTTCTCCCACCGTCTATTGCTCAAGTATCGCCTCCTTATAAAGCTGGCCCTGACTGCTCAGGGCAGACCCAGCTGCTCCACCCTGGCTACTCCCACAGCATTATGCATCATGGCCCTTGTCACACATGAGATGTCTATTCATGAACTGTGCATGAGTTAGGCACCACTGTTTCTCAAACATTCAGCAAAGTGCCTGCCCAGCAGTGTCTCTGCCACGCAGCCCAGTGCAGGGCATAAAGGGGTGCAAGGGGCTGATCAAAAGGTAAGCGGCCCAGACAAGTTAGATGATCCCAAAACAAATGTCAGTAGTGATGTGGCCATTCTAGCCCAAGTGAAGACAGGCACTGAGATGCACAGTGAGGGCAGGAAGGGAACAGCATTACAAGAATAGTATGGAAATGACAGGGGCATCAATAGCACAGGACATTGTTCCAGGAACTCTAGCACAGCAACACACAGTAAGCCAGCTGCAGAGGTCAGTCCTGGGAGATATAAAGTGGGCTCCGGCTTGCTGGATGGGGCCTTCAGAAGCAGTGGGGCACACCTCCCCAAGGGTGAAGAGTGGGACAAAGCTGGCTGTGGAAAGCTGTCCTGACTCAGTGCTGCTCAAATGCCAGAGGGATCTTCTCTGTTCAGGCATCTCAAACTGAGGAGGCAGAGCTGCAGAAAACAATTTCCAAACCCCTAGCTACCACAGGGACAAGATCTTCCAGCGACATTCCTGCTAGGCTGGACTCCGTCGGCTATTAAGGGAGATGCTCAGAGATCTCCCACCGGCTGGACCCCACTAACTGCAGCTGGATGGGAATGAACTGGGGCAAGAATTGACTGGTAGTAGCTGCCCAGTAAATATATGATGAATGCATTAATGAGATAAATGAATAACTAAATGAATAAGCAAAACTTAGATTAACATGGAAATATTTGCCAGATGTTGAATGTGAGCACTTTAGTTCTCAGCAGTACATTTGTACCATTTCTAAAAACAGCTGACTGGCCCTTTTGAGTGTTTATGGCCAGACACCTGGCTAACTGCTTTGCCTGTTTTATCTCATTGAAACACATGCCAAACTTAAGAGAGGGACTCTTTTGTTACAACTGCTTTACAAACCAGGCGACTAGGGTTCTGAGGAGTAAGGTATCTTGCCCAGTGTCTTACAGCTAATGAGGGTGCAGGATTCTGTGATCACTCCGATTCAACCTTTCTGTCCTCGCAACTGTTTAAACCCTCCTGTTTGTATACAGGATAGAAATATACCGCTCACCCTTACATCCTTACATCCGGAAACCCTGTGCCAGTTACCCAGGATCTAAAGGGGGAGAGCCCTAGACTTTCAGGGCCCAAACAACATCATCCTAGGGCTAGAAGTGTCCTCCCCTGGACTGATCTAGAAGCTGTTCCCGGGCTTTTTCTTGGGGGGAAATGCTGTAAAATGGAAACCAGGCTTTGTCCCCTGCCTTCCCTATGGAAGCCGTCACCTCGTGGGGTCCTCCACCAGATT